ATTACAGTCAACTGCCCAGCCGCCCAAGAGTCAGAGTCTGCATACAGCCAGCCCAGGCCGCCAGTCAGATACACACACTTGTTTGTATGCAGGTACCAAGACAACATTCATACCAAGTGGAAGTCTGCAACTGTACGAGATCTAGACCTTCGACTGTTAGTCAATTTGACCCACCGTGGGTAGGAGACCTGAGGCCGGACAGGCTCGTCAAACATTATATAAGGCCCGGTCTCCAAGGAGTCAACATTCAGTTTTGCTATGTTGCCTTGATGCTGACTTGATGCTAGCTGGACGCTGGCCTGACCCTGGTTGTACGATGACACTCTAGACAACAACGGGAGACTGCTTCTGCATGTTGGTGCCTTTGTGTTGTGGTGCCAGCCTATGCTGATGTGGTGCATGCCACTCTGTCTTCATTGTTGAAGTGGCATTTGGCACATTTTCTAAATTGCTGAGTTGGACGCGACAAGCAGGGAGATCGAGATTTGTGGATGATTGGATGGGAACGGGATACTTACCTACGTTTGATCTTGATATTGTGCATTGTTGATTGTCTCCAACGTCTTTACGAGAGAGTTGTGTCACATGGAACTTCGATGTGCAGGATCTGCCAGGCTCGTTACTGGATAATGTTTTGTTCATGGGGAGGAGAGGGGAAGCCCAGAGGAGTGGGAATTGTTCAGCTACTGATACATGCCAGGTTGGGCAATGCATATGGAGCCAAGGATCCGCAATGTGATGAAAAGGATTGAATGGACAATGCAATGTCAGTGAAACATCAACAGGCAATGTACATCCTTTTTTTTTTTTTTTTTTTTTTTTTTTACAACACCCCCGCCAGTGTTAGTGGTGCTGATAAGGCAATGTACATCCTGATACATACAAAATGGCACAAAGTACTGCAGTGGAAGACTTAAAGATAAGTCTTGACCTGACCGGGACTGACACGGCATCCCATCATACACCACACATGTGAGGGAGGAGAAGGGACCACACATATGGAAGAAAGGTCCCTCTTTTGTACACGCATATGGACCTCTCTGACCCTGATCGCACCCTCCCGATCATTCCAGTAGGACTCGGGACCTCCATGAGGGTGCACTTAGCGCTATGGGATTCCGGATCTCAGGGCAACTTCATTCACCCAAGGGTGATGAAGGAAGCACGCTTACCAACGACAGGGTCTCTAACTCCCATCTTCGTCACCCTAGGAGATGCCAAGACCCGACGCTTCTTCGATCAGACGGTCACAGACCTCCCTTTTCTCCTCACTCTCGAGCCAACTGATCGTCCCTTGGTGTCTCGTCGCCACCGCTCCTCCGCACATTTCGATGCGATGGACACGGGGTACGATTTCATTCTCGGTACTCCGTGGTCTCGTCGGTTCCGAAGTACTGAGGCCGATTGGGCAACCAACACTCTCGTTCTCAAAACGAAGTGTGGACAAACGTATCGCGTACCTTTCATGAGTACAATTGCGACATCATGCCCCGATCCTCCTCTCCCGGAGTCTTCCGTAACCACACCATCTCCTCTACTATCACCGTCACCTCGCCTCCGCAATTCGCTTTTTTCATCAAACAGGACGATGCCACCTTCTTTACGGTGAACGCTACAGATCTCTTGCACTATGATCCACCCTGTCCCGACGCCGAGCTCATCTCTTTGGAGCCAGATCCTCCTATCTTCATGGCTCCCATCTCTACCACCCTCCCTCCGCCATCCATCGAATCCACCACGTCGTTGCGCGCCGACGCTGACGCTAAGGAACTAGCACGCTATACGACCGACCTTGTACCCGCAGTTCGTGACCTCATTGGAGAGTACCACGACGTTTTCCCATCGTTACTCTTGTACATCGGCATCAGAGATGAGCAATGGGTACCCAGACCCACACCCAACCGCACCCACCGCACCCACGAGGGATTGGGTCAGGTGTGGGTCTTGATAAGCTGGCACGAGTGGGATGAGGTTGGGTCTAGGCGAGCCAGCCTGCGTGGATGACAGGCGGGTCAATGTTAGGTCTGGGTCACCCGAATGTGTGGTGTCATTCAAGAACGGCCTAAAGTGGAGATGCTTTGAATTTTCATGTTGCCACCAAGGATGTTATGTTGTTGTGGTGCATGTAAATGTTCGAAGGGACTGAGACGATGGGGAACGAGTGGATGCAGGTGAAAATAATTAGGTACCGGGTGCGGACGGGTAAATTTGTTCTTGCGGGTCTGGGTGGGTCAGGGTGAAGGTTTTTTACGGGTGACGGGCGGGTTAGGTGTGGGAGAAAAAATAAAAAAAACACTTGGGGGGGTTGGGTCACCTTGAGGATTTTTTAATTTTTATTTTTGAGGGGGCTGTACTTAAAAGAATAAGGATGGGTTGGGTGAAGTGTCAATTCAAAAAAAAAATGCTCATCTCTGGCTAGCATCCCACCGATGCGCGACATCGAGCACTCCATCCAACTTGTGCCTGCCTATCGTGTTCACCACCAGGCACCCTATAGACTCTCAATCCCCGAGGCCATCGAACTCGAGCGTCGGCTTGGGGAGCTCCTGTGGCTGGGTTTCATTAAACCCAACAACTCCTCATGGGGTGCATCCGTCCTCTTTGCTCGCAAAGCGGATGGAACTCTCCATCTCTATATCGATTATCGCGGTCTCAACCGCTACATGGTTAAGAACAGTTACCCCATGCCTCGTTCCGACGAGTTGTTCGACTGCCTAGCAGGCAAACGTTTTTTTACGAAGATTGATCTTCGTAGTGGTTACCATCAGATCCGCGTCGCTGCAGTGGACCAACCGAAAATAATATTATGGTCGCGGTTCGGCCACTATGAGTTTACGGTGATACCATTAGGCCTCACCAACGCACCAGCTACCTTCCAAACGGCGATGAACGATATCTTCAGGGAATCCTAGAGCAGTACGTTCTCGTCTACCTCGACGATATCCTGATCTACAGTCGTACCGTTGAAGAGCATCTCGAACACCTCCCCGACGTCCTTGACCATTTGCACAGACATGACTTCTACACGAAGTTGAGCAAGTGCTGCTTTGCCCAGCGTAAAATGGATTTCTTAGGATACAACGTGTCTGACCAGGGTCTTCACATGGACAACTCGAAGATCACTGCTATCACAGACTAGCCTAACCCCAAGTTTGTCAAGCAGATTCGCAGTTTTCTTAGACTTACGAGTTATTACAGTAAGTTCATCCGAGCTTACACCTCCTACTCGCATGTCCTTACCTCTACCCTCCTTCGAAAGAACCCTCTATAGGTTTGGACATCCCTTCACGAGGGCACCTCCCGCGCCCTCAAGAAGGTGGTGACATATGCACCGGTTCTCCTCCTACCCGATTTTGATCGCCCTTTTATCCTTACCACCGATGCGTCAGACTTTGCTGTAGGAGCACTGCTTTCTCATATTTTCCCCACCTCTCATAATTCCTCTCATCCTTGCATCTCCCACTGGCGTAGGTATTCGGAAAGCTTCACACGAAAGCTGACCCGACTAGATGCCACATCAGAAGCGACGGCGTGAAAAATATGACGTGGTCCAAAGAAGCGACGCCGGAACTTGCGAAGTGTGTCCACTTCGAGCTGTAAGTAGCGGGCGTCGACAGACACATCATCACCGACTCTGAATGAATGGTTCATCCTTGATCGGTTCACACGTGCAGCCATGTGAGTCTGGGAAGCGGCTATGTGCTCATGCGAGGTCCGCATGATCGACGTCATGTTTGCAACCCAATCAACCAGCGCAAAACAACTCGTGTCGGGGTGCATTTGTGACGGTCGAAGGAAGTCCGCGGGAACACAAGGGTGATAGTCGAGGTCTCAATAGTAAGGCGACATTCCCGTGGCTGGCGAGACGGCGTGGTTGTAGGCCATCTTCGCATGGGCAAGATGATGATCCCACTGCTGGTCGTCACGAACAATCTTTTGGAGAATATCTTCGAGAGTCCTGTTCGTGACCTCGGTCTGACCATCAGTCTGGGGATGGTAAGACGATGAGAAGTGGAGCTAGGTGTCGTACACCTCTTGGAGCCATCGCCAAAATAAGCTGGTAAAACGCGGGTCACGGTCAGATATGATGCTCAGAGGTAAGCCGTGGTCACGCACGACTCGGTCAAACACGATGTCGGCAACCTCACGTGCACTGATGACATAGCAGCACGGAACAAAGAGTGCGCGCTTCGTGAAGTGGTCGACGACGACAAGGATAGCATCATGACCGCTGGGGGTAGGAGGAAAAAAAGGACCGATAAAGTTCATCGAGATGGACTGCCAACGACCCTCAGGGATAGGAAGAGGCTGGAGCAAACCATAAGGCAGGTGGTTCTCACTGTTCACCTCCTGACAGGTGGGGCACTCTGCGACGAAGTCCTTCACAAAGTCCTTGCGCTTCGGCCAGACATACAGGCGGCTCATATGAGCCAGGAAGCCTGTATGACCGACGACTGCCTAGTCATGGAACTCTACTACTTCCCGGACACGTAGCTGTACAGTGGAAGGAACACAAATGTGGGGCTCTTTAGTGCCATGTGAACAGTGCGAGTATAGAAGACCGTTGTCCCCGAGAGAGTAGTTCGGGACGGTCTTGCCACCCCAAAGGGTTGCATGGATATCGCGATAGTCGGGGCAGTGGCGGTACCGAATGCGAAACTCGTCGGTCACCGTGTGGTGGACGGTGGTGACCGAGATGGTACCGAGTTGGATCTGCTGTAGATCATGTCAGGGCGCTAGGATAAGGCATTTGCGACTCAATTGATCTCACCCTTAATGTGCTCAGTGGTGAAACTAAACTCGAATAGGTCGTACCACCAGCGAGTCCGTCGAAGAGTGAGCTTCAACTTTGTCAGAAAAGCCTGGACAACAAAGTTGTCCGTATGTATCGTGAATCGTGCCCCGCGCAGGTAGTGACGCCAATGACGATAGGCATAAACTACTGCGAGAATCTCACGTTCATTAGCAGTGTAGTTTACCTCGGCGGGCAGGAGCTGACGGGAATAGATGACTATCGGACAATCACCTGAGCGAGACTTGACAGTGTCGTCCTTAGCGGTGGTAGGAGAATGCTCAATAGAAGGCTCGTAAGTAGCTGGACGAGTAGGCGTCAGGCGGGAAGCAGTGGTGGGGGTAGGAGGTGAGACTCGTGTGCACGATGTCTATCACGTCTCGTTACTGCGTCCCTACCGTAGAGCGTCCGAGTGTTTCGTTGGACGACCACATGAGCATGCTCCACCCATCATGGTGGACGGCCACGAGGAGCTCCTCGTTTCAGACATCATTAGCCGCCGAGTCACCAACGACAACCCTCCTCACGTCGAATATCCCGTACGTTGGAAGGGTTACCCTGATGAGGAGGCTACTTTGGAGCCCCTCGAGCACTTGTAGCACGCTCGTATGTTGGTGCGTGCCTATAACTTTGTTCATCGTCTTGGGTTGACTGCTTCTCCTCAGCCCACTGACCCTCTTCCTTCTCCCTCGGTTGAGGAGATCGCTGAAGTCGAGTTTGCTTCATCTGAGGCAGACCTTCAGCAGCAGTCAGATGCTTCTGAGCGTCCACAACGCACTCGTCGTCGTCCTACTCGATACGATGATTGACTCCGACTTCGCTTCTCAATTCTTTGACTTCTCAGTACTTCATCCATTCCAGTTTTGCTACTTCAGCTCATCGACGTTACAAGTCTTCCTTGACGACATTTCAGACTTCTCTTCATAGACATCATTGTCAGCTTCACAGATCAGCTCTGCCTACTTCAGACGTCGTCATTCTCTTATTACTTTACTTTGTACAGTAGCCTAGTTGTGTCGCCTGATGGTCTCCCTTAGCCGGGTTCCTCCGAGTTGGGCTCTCCCCTGGTATACGCATAGGCATCGAGACCGTAGTGTTGCCCTGGCTTCCCCGCTTACGGATCTAGCTCCAACTTCCCTCACTATATGAGTCATTTGCATGATTCCCTTACCCATCACTTTTTCTACCCTCTGCCGACCCTCACGCCCTAGTTAGGCAACCTTGCATGCTTCATCTAGGTGGGCCCAGTATACCAGGCTCCCTGATTGCCTTGCATGGTCGACCCTACATAGAGGTCACCCCTTCAGTCGAGCATTACCCGCCCTGATGGTATATCTGTTAGGGTCATTGGTTTTGTTCGCTCCCAGTTCCCTACCCTTATTGAGCCTGATGACATGTGCCTCCCTGTCATTATGTGTGGATGCCCTCAGGAGTTTATCGACCTGTAAGCTGCATCCGCCACTCTCAGAGACCATCCCACCCTGTGGTTTGCGACACACTCCTCCTGTGACATATGGTTGTATTGTTGTTGCTTTGTTGCTTTCAGACTGAGGTTACTGCCTCTAACATTTCTAGGATTTAGTTGTTTATGTTTTTGGACTTATACACTAGTCAGTTGTTTCCAGATTGAGGCTACTGCCTCCAACATTCTAGGATTTAGTTGTCATTACTTTCTGCTTTCCTAAGACATGTATACTAGTTAGTTGCTTTCTGCTTTCACTTAGACTGTTAGTTGTGACATTGTTATTTTTGCGACATTTTCTAGCCCGGGTTGCATTGCATGGACTCATGATGGGGCTTGCTCCACATCCTAGACTACTCGGGTTTTCTTTTCTTTGGTAGAGTTCCGCTTCTTGGCGGAAGCGTGCTTGTATCTAGGCGCTCCATCACAGGTCGAGGATCCTGTAGCAAACCTCTGGTTGGGCTGTGAGACCAGTCCTTGGCCTGTTCTCATAGGCCTGTGTTGGGGTAGTCCAGTCCAGGCCGGTACCTCTGTCGGTACCAGCCAGTCCAGTCCAGCCCAGTCAGTCCGCTGGTGTATACCCCAGCCAGAGTCTGTACTTGGGATCATTCTAGATTCGCACAATTTGGAGTACGTGTGTTGGAGTCTTGCGTGGGAGTTGCGTTGTGTCATCTTGCTCCACCCTCGTCCTCCATCTCCATCTCTATCCAGGCGGAGCACCACACCTGGTGGGTCCGCCACACTCATTGCTTTGGTTACCTTAGAGAAAAGTGGACCCACGCCGTTTCAATTTCGAAAAAGGCTAGAGGACCGCGGCCTCCCCGGCATCTTACGGCCAGCTACTAGTCGTACCCAGTCCTGGCCCTTGCAAGGCCCCAAAACCTCAAAATGCCCACCCTCACAACGACCACCTACGTTGAAATTTGAGTGATGTTGAATTGTCTCAGGGGGAGAAAACGCAACCCTGACGGGCTGTGAATTAAAATCGCGTTTTCGAGAGTGATGTGGCGGGCTTATCGCCTTGG